TTTAAGCATTTTAGGAGGAGGAGTGTCTTGTAATTATCCTATGACTTCAGCAGAAAGAAAGGAGGAATTTTTTAGAAGTATACACCATCTGAGCTCTTTTCATAGTTTGAAATTAGAGCGTTTGACTCACATGTTGGCATGGGTTTTGGGATACTGGTGGGGTGTTGTTTGTATTCTTCTCGGAGAGTGTGTGTGGTAGTGGTCTCTCCCTCCTACTTTTGAGGTGGGAGGGCTGAGCTGATGTCATTGAGTGCAGCAAACTGAGCCTGAAAGAGGCTCTTTGTTGGCAGCTGCAGCACGAGTAGTCCCTGTGCCTCGGATACTCACTCACACAGGGGGACGGAGAGAGGAATGGCACCGCACAGACGGCCCTAGTGTGTACTCAACTGATAAATCTACAAGGCGATAAACGTTTGGACAAAATCTGCGCTATTTTGTTGGGGTTTTTTTGGTGATTGTTTAACTGTGGAGGCAACCTAAAGCCAAAGAGGGGGGAAAAAAACATGGAGACGCTCATAAGGAAAAGTTGGTAGACTTTGCCGGACAGCGGACTCTTTCTGTTTCGGAAAGGAGTGAGAACAATAATAAAAGGATACATTTCAGTTGGAAGGACTCCAGGAAAAACAAACCAATATCTATTTCTTCTTTACTTGGTGTTCTTTCCACTTTTGTCAGCTTCTTTTGGATTTTTTTATTATTCTTTTGTTGGACACATGTAGACGAGAAACGTTCAAGGGACATCTGGTTTGAACAAGCAACAATATTTTCAGCGTGAAGGGAAAGAAAGCAAATGAAAATGTTGGAGATATGCCTAAAATTGGTGGGGTGTAAATCTAAGAAAGGCCTCACGTCGTCCTCCAGCTGTTATTTGCCAGGTAAAGAAATCTAGTTTTCTGTTTCTTTTGATTTTTACAGTTTGCCATAAGAGGAACAGTCACAGGAGAGATGTGAGAAATGGAGAAAAAGTAAAGGCTTATGAGCACAGAGGAAAGAAAGAAAAGGTTGAAGTATCCACCGTGTAAAATCTCAACAATCATTTCTGGGTTCTGGAAAGTGAAGAATGGGGAGGGGAAAGCGGAGATCAAGCTCAGGGGAGGGTTGGGGAGCCCAGACACACTGGCTAGCTGGAGAGGAAAAAAGTGGAAAATGAGACGGAGAAGAGAATACAAGGAAATCTGACTCCTGCCCATGTCCCACTTAACTCTTGTTTATGTGGAGAGGGGATCTAATCTCAGTCTGCGCTCCCTTTTTCTTCTCTGCTGTATTACACTACTTCAATCTTGTTTAGTGCTCCCATAATGAAGTTAGTAGATAATGAAAGAGGGAGAGGGGGTTGTGAACTTTTTTCCTAGCGTCACGCACAGTTGATTTCCGGATTATCTATGCAACACAAGGGGAATTCAACGAAGTCCAGGACATATTGGGTCTGTACATAGTAAAAGATTAGTACTGGGAGACTGAGTGAAGTCTTGTGTGTTCTGTAGATTGCACAACCAAATGGTTTAATAGAGTTAATAGTACTTGTACGGCCCCATTGAAGTAAGTGACAGTGATAAAGAGCCTCTAACTCTTAGATCTTATTGTAGAAGGCACAACAAATCTCCTGATTATGCCTCAGGGAGGCTGTGTTTGTCTTTGATCCATGAACAAAGCAAGCTTTTTGACATTGTTGGAATAATTATATTCCATGGGCATAATAGCAGGAAGATTGTGGATATTTTCAGAGAGCTTGGGGTTTAAATGGTGTTTCTTTCATGCATAGTTGCCTACTTTTTCACCTGGTTCCTTGCTATCTCCCACGAACATCTTGCAAACATATCTACAGTCAGTAGAAGTACATCACCACTTCCTACTTCAGTCATAGCATCTTAAGCAAAAGGAATATATTAGGGTAGAAGTTTTCCCCTTTTCATTACTCATAAATGTGTAATTTTGTACTAAGTGTGTTCCATCTGCAATAAATCAGCCTTTTTTTCTCTTTACCAGTTGATGGGAACTAATTGATGGGAACTAACAGCTGTACCAGCTGGTTAGTTGCATTTGTAAACTGGTTCATTAGAGATAAGTAGAATCACCAGGATGACACAGCTCCTAGTTTTTTGCAGAAATTTTCTTTCTTGCATCAGTGTTTGACTTCCAGTGCATTCCTAATGCTGATAGAAGTGCAGTCATGGCTGTAAATTCTTTAGGAGTTCCTCACATATTTAATCATTTTGACTGTCATCTCACTAATGCAGCCAGGACATGCTGTAATTTCTCCCACTCCATGACTGGGGAGAGCCGCGGTCTGATAAGAGGGCTGCTCCCATTCTTTGTTTCTTTCTTTCATTTACCTCCTTTTTTCTGTTTTCATATGACTTTTCATTTCCCCCCTCTTTCTCTCTCTCTGTTGACACATGTGTCAGCATGCTGTCATCATCTCACAAATAGCTGCAGTATTTCTGGCCTGTTAAGTGGGCATGTGTGGCACGGGCTGTTAAAATCGCTGCCCACACACTGTATGACCAGCCCAAACTGTATGCAGCCCCCCGCCCCATTTGAGCCGGTTTCCTATCTTGCTCGATCTCTGGTCTTATCTGTTTGAATTTGGGTTGTTTTTGTTGCTAAAATTAAGCTTGGTACTTATGAATGAATGGCTGGCTGTGCTTTTGAAGGTTTTCACCTTGGACAAAAGGACAGGAGAAATATAGAAATGTAGGTATGAGCCAGATCTATCCTGTGTGTCATCAGCAGCTCAGCCATCAGGTCCTTTAGCTACAAAAAAAAAAAAAGCAGCACATTTAGTTATGATAGTCTCACTGTGAGTAGGCTGGTGAGCCTAGCTTGCCAGAAGAGTTGGTGTGAAAGGATTTCATTAGCCTCCAAATACATTGATGCCTGGAACTTGTCAACAATGTCATGTGACAAGTTGTGGGCCTGTTTACTTTGTATAGGGTTATATTAGTTTACTGCTGTATGTTAAATCTTTGAAATACTTTAGGTTGTGAGGAATTTGGAAGTCATATCATCTCCCACTGTGACTAGAAAGTCCATTACACAATGGCCCTTTAAGCTCATGTTGAAATGAACCCATTTGTTGCTGCTGTTATTGAATAACAGCCACTGCTTTTTCCACAAACTGTTATCTTTGCAATATGGTTATTCACCCATCCAAGTATTAATGCATTAAATCAAATTGTGTTATCAATCTTCAAAACGTTGGCGTGAGTTGCCAGTTTTGGAGATATCCACTTTAAAAATGTATTCAGTATAGGGAAACTAGGGTAATATCTTTTTATACTCATCACGAGGCAGTTACAAAAAATGGAGTAGAAACTGTTTTCTTTGTACAAAACAAGCAAAAACCTGTGATTGGAGGTTTGTACTAGTGACAGCGTGACTGGACGAACCATTAATGGCACACCCCTTGGGGTACATGCTTGTTTTGGTTGGTGAATTTAGAGTGGATAAGAACATGCTCTTCTTTAATTGCAAATAGGCATTGTAATGATAAATGCATATGCAAATGCATAATTAGCTATATTTTATTGACTTTTGCCTTTAGGTTACATTATTGGCTTGAGGTAGAGCTATCTTGTTCTATGAACGAGCCCAACTTCCTCCTCTGAAGCTGTAAGTTGTCCTTAGTCTTGGAATAGGTTATTTATTTCTGTTACAGGATTTTCATAGATGCACTAATGGAAAATTGTCTAGTTTTTTTTTTTCATTGGGTCAATTAATCACATGTGTTTAGCTGAGTCTTGATTTGTCTGTAGTTTTTCAGTTGGGTCAGAGGCACAACTGTTGAGCATAATTGTTAAATTACTAAATAAACACAGTTACAAGTCATATTTTATCTGCTGTTACCAAATCAGATGTTTTCTTAATCATTCACCCTTTCAGTCAAACCATTTGGCTTTGTTTCTGAGAACGACTAGAACACAGAAATGCTGCAGTTGCACAGCAACTAAGATATGTGTGGTGGTATGTGTTGTAATCCATGCAAGACTTTTACATAAAACAAAAGGAGCAGTGAGCACTAAGAGCACAGCAAGGAATGTGGTGATAACCAAAGGAAAGTGATGCAAGATGAATGTCAGCTGTTGTAAGGGAGAGAGAAAAGTGAGCACATGGGTAAGTTTTATAGCCTGTGATGCCCAGGTGACCCAGATCAGCTGACAGCGTTCCTGAGTCAAGAAGTTTCCTGCTGAGCTCGCAGATAAAATGGATGTAAAATGGCCTAAAGCCGTTTAATGATAAAATCTGCACTGCATGATAAAAAACTTAATTTGTCACATGCTAGTAGCTAGCCATTTGTTTTTTGGGAATGCTTGGAAGAATGAAATGCAAGATGGGTCCAAAACATGTGTGACAACAGCTGAGAAAACCGCACAGTCGAGCTCATTTTATAGGCCAAACTGCGTTTAAATAGTTTCTCCTCTTTTTTTTTTTTCTTGCTCTTCACTGTAAACAAAATCCTTCTTTTTTTTTTTCTGTGTATTATTTTATTTTGTCACATTTTGAATGTTATCAATCAGGTTTACTTCTTATGCTTTGTTATAATTTAAGACATATATAACAAATTTTTAAATTAAACTACTTTGAACTTATCTATTTTATATTTACAGACAAGATCAGTGGTGAAACATATTCTCATGGCCTAACTTGGGGGGAGGGTGATTGTCTAGGTATTTAGGAAAATTAAATCTAAACAGGGATAATCCAGGAAATGAAAAGTTGTAGAAGCTTGAGGTACAATTTAGATCACATGATTGGCCTCTTTACTCTTGATTTCATGGTGGGATCACAACTGCTGAAGCAAAACATGGGCTGAAAGTGATATAAAAAAGTATAAAATGACAGATGGAGAGGTTAGTGTTCTGAATTATCCAACTTGTGTGTGAAAATGCTTCACAGGGTCAGTGTTGTGGTGTCTCTTCTGGACTTCATAATTAATATTTTTGCTCATATTGAAGTTTCATACTTGTATTCTGACAGGCTTGTTGTTGTTGTTCTTCCAGAAGCTCTCCAGAAGCCAGAAATTGAGGGTCAGGGTCTGACAGAAGCAGCCCGCTGGAACTCCAAAGAGAACCTTTTGGCTGGACCCAGTGAGAATGACCCCAACCTGTTTGTTGCCCTCTATGATTTTGTGGCCAGTGGTGACAACACTTTAAGCATTACTAAAGGTAAGAGGGTGGGGGCAATAAATGAAGGATTTATAAAAATATTTATATATAAGTTTTTTGTTTGTTTGGTTTATTTGGGGCGGTTTTTCCATTTAGCAAATAATAATAATTACAAAGCAGTATTTGTGAAGGTAGAAAGAAAAGGATTTCATACAAAAGTATGCTAGTGGAAATGAACCAGGCAAGCTAAGCACCTTATTAAACTCCAGGTCACAAGGGCACTACAAGGAAGGAAATAATCCTGACCATTACCCAATTTTTGTAAGAGTAACTCTAGTTTAGAATGAGTCAGATCAGTTTCTGAAAAAGGCTTGGTTGAGTTTGTAATCTAAACCAACACACATCTATTAAATTTGAGTGGGATGTAACTTACAAAATGATCTCTACTGGAGATTGCTGAAGTCTTTATACGATTCTTACCATTGCTGGGAATCCACTTATTAGTGTCCCGTCTCCTTCCCGTTCTGCCTTCGCTCCCATCTGACTCTCACTTCCTGACAATGGCCTCTCACGTGGGTCGTTTTCCACTGAAGCGATTGTAAAACAATGCTGCAGACACAGACAAACAGAGGAAGGAAGAATGGATCTTAAGCACAGGAATAAACAAGAAAATGTCCTCTACAGTGCTGCCTTCCAGCTTGTTATAATGGTGCAAAGGTTAGGTCTGTTTACTTTGGCTGTTTATTGCCAAATAACAAAGATTACACAATTATTTAATTTAAAAGCAAAAATAGGCCAACATCATTATTTAATTGTGTATGGTTTTTTTATGTCTTTTATGTTGTGTATATGAATAGTTTATTCTCAAAATGTTTTCATATTATGGTGTCTTCAGGATAAGTTGCATTTTATTTGGATAGCACCTTTCAAGATAAACATCACAAAGTGCTTCACAACTAAATGCCAGGTGATGAGAACAAAAGTTAACCAAACCCAAGTCTTAAAAGATGAGTTTTTAGCTGGTTTTTGAATGAGATTAGCAAATCCACAGATCTCAGGGTCGCAGGGAGAGTCTGGGGGCCACTTTTGCAAAAGCTCTGTCTATGAATGTAAAAGTCAAATAAAGCTCTAAAAGTCAAAATCAGAATCTTAAAATGGACTCTGAGGTTAATAGAGAGTCAGTGTGAGTGAATTGGCAACAGTGTGATCGGAGTACTTAGAAGACTCAACCAGAAGTCTTGTAGGGGTGTTCCAAACAACTTTGAGACATTCCGAGGAGTTTTTGCAACTACTGAATAATTAATTACAATATTCCAGACATGATATAATAATGTTGACTTTCTATGTTTACTAGGGGAGAAGCTGCGTGTGCTGGGTTACAATCATAACGGCGAGTGGTGTGAAGCACAGACCAAGAATGGCCAAGGTTGGGTGCCATCCAACTACATCACCCCAGTCAACAGCCTGGAGAAGCACAGCTGGTACCATGGACCCGTGTCACGGAACGCGGCAGAGTACCTGCTCAGCTCGGGCATCAACGGGAGCTTTCTGGTCCGTGAAAGCGAAAGCAGCCCCGGTCAGAGGTCCATTTCTCTGCGGTATGAGGGGAGAGTGTACCATTACAGGATTAACACTGCGTCTGATGGCAAGGTGGGTATCAGTGGTGAGAAAGAGTCACACGATAAGAAAGTATTTATGTTTTTGTCTTTTTTTGTTTTTTTTTAAATGGGTTCTTTACAAGCACTTTTCCAACTTACTCCACGTCTCTAAGTGGTTGTTTTCTCACATGCTTTCACAATAGTTGGTACTTGGATGGTTCATCTGTATCTGACTGGCCAGCACGTCTTGGTAATCAGGTAGTGCTAACAGTGTGTTCATGATAGTTTTTAAATGTGTGTTCTTGCAACACATTCAAAACTCTAGCTCAGTGTTTTTAAGTAATTTAATTCATTAACGACACACACACACCAGCAAGCCACAATAGGCCAATCTCTGTGTGAAGTCATTTAATTTAGTAAGTGTATTTTTATAGTGTGCTGCGTTCTTGCCAAAAAATATCTATAGGAAGTAATCGTTTAACTTACTTGCACATATTGTTCATATTGTTGTCTCCTTGAGTATCACAGCATTACCAACTCACATGCACTCACTCTAATACGCACTAAATGCTGCCTTCCTGTCTTGCCTTACGGGCACTGTACAAGTCAAATTAAATCAAATATTTTTAATGGCATATTTAAAACCACACAAAATACAATTGTATAATTTAATACCATTTCCACCGTCATTCCGGCCGAAGAATGATGGAAAACCAGTGGGGACAAGAAGGCCTATTATTTATATTGGCTAGCAGTGGCAACAGTGCTGCAGGTATAATTGCACCAGCACAAAGAAAGGATTAAACAACCTCCTGCTTGCACAATCCACTGTCACACTAGTCTTACTCTTAAGTTTTAAATGTGGAGTGTCTCTAGAGGGGGAAAAAAGATGAAAGAGATTTGTTTTAATTCGTGCTTGATTTAATTTTATTCAAGACTAAAGACCTACAAGTTTTACATGTTTCTGTACTTCTAATTGTAACATTTTGCTTAAATCCTTTGGAGTTGAGGCTGGCCAACAACTTAAAAGAGGTTTATTTTAAGAACTTTAAAAATGCAGACTACCAGTATTTAATGTTCATGGCAGATCCACGTAGGTGGCTGAATTTCTTGAGTGGGATTCCCCCCTCCTCCCCTTAAAGGCTATATCGGTCGAGAAGCCACTTTTGGCCGTGTCACCCTGCTGTTTGTGATGGAGCGAGGTGAACTAGGTTTAGGAACGCCAGCTATGAGAAGAATGCCTCTAACTGCCACTGTGCTTCTCATAATGACCAGCAGACGCAAGGCCTGGCCAGACACTGACGCCCATGCAAAGACATGCATTAGCACAGATGCAGCCAAGTATGCACACACATACAAAGAAGCGAATGGACAAACACAGACGCTCTCTCTCACACACACACACACATACATACACTTGGTTCCCCATCGCATATTGTTTTCCATCCTCCCACTGAGCTACAAGTCAAGCGTCTGGTATGATAGAGTTCGCCAATAATTTGAAATTACCTCAGCACTCCCTGGAGCTGCAGGTTTTGTTGCACATTGGCTCTGTTATTAACACTGCTCTGAATAGAGAAAAAAAAAGAAAAAAGATTTTCATGTTGGTAAGCTCTTTTTTTTTTTCTTCCCCCTCCTAGATTTAGTAAATGGTCATGGTTTAAACCATTAAATCGTCTTGAGGTTTCTGCGGACTCTTCACCGCAGTCAAGGTTGTTCTCTTTCTTTCCTTTTTTCCTCCCTCCACAGGCCTTAGGCAAAGAGCCTATTCACAAGAATAAAAGAAGGCAGAAGTCACATTCTGGAACGAAAATCAGTTTTTGTTCTGAAAAGGCTAGAAAATCTGTCCACTTTGTTCTGTCTAGTATCCTTCCACCTGCCAAATACTGTACGAGCCTCTGATAGGCTAAGAAAATCTGATCTCTAATCTCTTGCATCCACTCAAATATAGAATCTCTCTTCCCCCCTCCCCC